ACTATATCATTTTGTCTCCTATATATCTTGGAAAATGATTTAAAACTAGACAACCTGGAGCTGTTGCACTCAGATTAATATTTTGGTATATGGCAATTAAGTTAAAAATGGTGAAAATCAGTTTCTGTGACTACACCAAAATCTATTATGTGAATATTTATCTTCAAGAATATATTTTAAATCCTAAATTTTCTGTAGCCAGAATATGGTGCTGGACAATATTGTGAATGTCTCCACATTAAATAGATCTAGTGATAAAGGATTTTAACTGAAATTTATTATGGAGTTTTGCTTTGTATAACTGAAAATTGACAAATGGTCTGGTAGCACTGTATAGATTACCCCCGAAGCTTCTGAAAATTGACAATTTTGCTGCATGTCAGAAATAAAAGAACACTTCAGGTCCCTTCCAGTGCCTTTACTTTCCTTCTGTAGTTACAGTTCCTTTTTGGTACTTTACATAGATATTAAAATGAAAACAATTGTTTAGATGGGGGGAAATAATTCAAATGAATCTAAAAATGACAAATAACCTGTATAATATGGTACGTATTTCTTGAAGTTAATGCAAAAACAAGAGAATTCAAATATGTACATGTGTAAATAGACAAAAACAACAGCAGCCTATGTGTCTTGTGGCAGAGGGTGTGAAATAATGTCTGACTGAATATAGAGAAGTATCTTCAGCAAGACTTTAATCTAATCCCCTTTGTAACTAGAGCTGGGGCCAGGGTGGGCTGAGTAGCCGCTGTCAGAGCTGGATCCAAGGCTGCTGTCACCATGGCTCCAGCACACAGGGCAGCCACCTGCCATATGGCCCCACCCCAGGAGCAGCCAGGCAACCAGCATGGGTAGGGAAATGGGCAAGGGCAAAACTGACCACACAGGTGGATCGTTCAGGGTGCTGAAGGGCCAGGAGAGGGCTAAGGGGCAAAATCAGGGCAGACAGGAGGGTTTAGAACAGGATCTGGCGCCTGCTAGGCAGTGGCAGAGGGGAAACCCCAGAATACGCAGGGATAGGAAGCCCTCTACAGTGCTTGTAAAGGTGAAGTGTGGAGCCACATATGGTGTTTCCCATTTGCAGGATAGGGCATCTCAGGGCCTCCTCCCCAGGGCTGTGATCTAAATGGCACAATCTTACCCAGGGCCTAGACAAGGCAGCTCTTCCCTGCCTGATAAGATGGATTCGTCTGCCAAATGGGACTCAGTGCAGTGAAATAATTTAGGTACAGCCCCTTCCAAACACTGTAATAATTAGTTCTGGTCTTGGGGTCTAAAGGAATCCTTGGTAGGTTTCTGTGTCTGCTTAAAGCTTCAAATGAGTTTCAAATATGTTTCACCTGGGGTTTGTTAGGAGGTTGGCTACTTTGAAATCCGTTATTGAATGTCTAGGGAGATTAAAACATTCCCTAGTGGGTTTGTGTGTTACTCCCTGGACATTTAATAATTAATTTAAAAGTAGCCGTCCTTCCACAAAAGAATTTTATCTGATTACAGAGGTAGACAGCTCTAATTGCAGTTTGTCTACAAGTTCAATACTATAGCACTGACTCATATGTGAAGTTGAGGGTACTGTTTTGCTATCACACGCATTTTCATCTGAGGCTATGTCTACATTGGCATGATTTTGCACAAGAACTCTTTTGCCGAAGAGTTTTTGTGCAAAAACTCTTCCAGAAGAGAGCATCTACACTGGCATGTGCCTTTGCGCAAGAGCATCTGTGCCAGTGTAGACGTTCTCTTGCGCAAGAAAGCTCTAATGGCCATTTTAACCATTGGGCTTTCTTGTGCAAGAAATTCATGTTGTCTGTCTACACTGGCCTCTTGCGCAAGAGGGCTTATTCCTGAGTGGGAGCATCATAGTTCTTGCACAAGAAGTACTGATTTCATACATTAGAACGTCAGTGTTCTTACCCAAGAACTCATGGCCAGTGTAGACAGGCAGCAAGTTTTGATGCAAAAGCAGCCACTTTTGTGCAAGATCACACCAATGTAGATACAGCCCTAATATCTGCAGACCACATGGCTATGTCTACACTGGCATCCCTTCCGGAAAAAGGATGCTAATGTAGCATGTTGGAATAGGCAAATCCGCGGGGGATTTAAATATCCCCCGCGGCATTTGCATTAACATGGCTGCCGCTTTTTTCCGGCTTGGGGGAAAGCCGGAGAAAAGCGCCAGTCTAGACGTTATTCTCCGGAAAATAAAGCCTTTTCC